GTATATATATATATATATATTTTTTTTTTTTTTGGGTGGCACAGTGGGAGAAAATATGCTCTTTGAGAATATTAATATTTTAATACAAAGGGATGAAGGATATGTGGAAGGATTTGTTTTTTCATACATGTAAGTTTTTTTTTGTTAAATAGTTAATTTCTCCCCAACTCCATTAGGTATTATTTTTAGCACTGATTTGTAATAAGGTTTGCAGCCCTTCTCTAAGTACCTCAGTAAACCCAAATCTCAAGAAAACAGTGGAACATTAAGCCATTTTCCAATGAATTAAAATGTCTGGCATGCTCTTACCACATCTTGACAGGTCATTAGTGTCTCCTGGCAGGCAGGTGGAGACGACCGCCTGATGCACCTCTGGAAGTTGACCTTGGCTGTCAAGTAAGCGCATCATAATTTTGGTGAACTGCTGCAGGGTTTTGAATCGATTCACATTTCTGGAGACATTCTGAGATTCAAAGGCCTGATGGTAGAGTCGAAGGAGGTCGGCCTTCAAGCCAGGATCCAGCAACAAGACATCTACAATCGCCTGGTGTTTCATCAAATACTTTTCAACCCAGTGCAACAAGTCCTCAGTTCTTTTTTCATCATATGGACTTTCCACCAAGAACCTCAGGGACCACTTGGTGAGCAGGTGTGCAGTGTCGCAGGCCAGCTGACCAAGAGCCACCCTGTCTCCTGGCTGAACCTGAGGAGGTTCTGAGAGGGGAAACACAGGCTCCCAGTGAATAAAGATAGCACTGAGGTAATATTTACACTCTGTCAGGGAAATGTCTTCGCCTTTCTTAGTTTCAGGATCTTCTTCCAGGTCCTTCCTGTGTATGCTGGGCTTCAAATTGGACCCTTTACTCTTGATTTTATTTTTCCCTATTCCTGAAAAGGACAAAAAAAGTTTTTTTCCATTAAATTACATGCAATAAATGAGTCAGGCAGTGAACTGGACTAAAAACTGTTTGTTTTGAATTAAAAATAACCGCTTTTAACAACAGTTCTGTACAAAACAGTATAACACTGGGGGGGTTCCATGATACTGGAGGAGGTCTGGATAAGAAATATTCATAAATCAGGAAATTCAATGGAAAACTTATTGTTAATAGTTGTTTTCCATTCTAAACGACACTCACCAAGCATTTCCTTGGTTTTGGACTTTTCAGACAAACAATGAATCTGGTTGGTGAGCGCCTTGTCCCCTGATAGGGAGGCCCAGCACAGGAGCGGTGCAAGGACTTCAGCACAGGACAGCGGCTGTGGGAGGAGGGAGAAGCGCTCAGCCTGTTTGTTTACGCTGAGTGCTGTCCCACGATGCTTCAGTACAAAGCAGAGTGTCTGCAGGAACCGGCTGAGCGAAGCGGCCTTCAGACCCAACCTGACAGAAGGAGAAGGTCAGACAAACACTGAAGTCCTCGACCGTAGACACTGAACATTTATCATGTCTGATGTTTGATAATCTCCCCTGCTCTAAAAAAGCACCAGGTCTGTCTAGTGTGAAACAAGGATACCACATGTTTTAGTTACTTTTTTACATTCAATATCTCAATACCTACCCACATGTAATTTTAATTCAATTTTAAATTACTGAAGTTGTCTGTTCTTCTTTGTTATGCAGTTAAAGTTAGGTCTAAACTAGACCTGGGAAAAATATGGCCTGTGGGCCAGATGTGGCCTGCTGGGCTCTCTAATCTGGCCGACCAAACTCCGGTACAAGGAATTGTAAAGACATCAATCGTCAATCCTTCTGTTTCATGGATTACAATGAATTAATTGTAATTTCTGTTAATGACACTAGATGGTGGACATTACATGTGCCAAATTATCTTGTACATTTTATTTATATTATTTCATCCAGCATTCTGCATCCATTAAATACTGATCTGGTCGACCAGTCAAATTTTGACCAGATTTGGAAGTCATATCTTCTGTAAAGGTCTAGTTCCTTTGTTTCAGTTTAATGTATTGCATCAGTTAAAATGCAGTAGTGCAATAGTTTATGTTGGAAATAGTTACAAATATATAAACCAATCCAATATTTGAGAAAAAGACTGCAGCTGTGGAATGTCAACTACTTGCTCCAAATTCCAGCTCTTCCTGTTAAATTTACTCCAGTCCATTTTCCAGCTTCCTGAACTGTGCACTTTTTGCATTGATCAACTAAGGGAACCAGTTCTGTTCTTCCCTAAAATGATTTAGTTTGTATTCATTTTGAATGTTATATATCTTAATAATGAGGAAAAGTATCTTATCAGTATTTCACATCACAATAACTTGGTATTTTTCAGACCCATTATATCAGCTGTATATACATACTGTATACATGTCATTTCCAAGCACAGTGTGCAGTTATCTGAGGTCATCACGATTAGTCCATACTAATCCTACTTATGATTTACAATATTTGAAGCCCCCTTATTTATTACAGCAGTTACTGAAATCTGGTTGTAGGTTTTGTAACTGATGATTTTCATTCAATATCTAAAATTATTTATTGTTAATTTATTACTAAATATTATAACAGTTGATATACTGAATAGGTGAAGACCACTTCTAACTTGAAGACCACTTCTAACTAGAATTGCGTTTTTTGAAGTGTACCTGAGATATTTGGTGAACTCTAAAGCCACACAAAGGAATTCGTTGATGAGTGGAAGAGGAAGGCACTTGATTAAGTTCTTAGGTTTCTCCTCTGCAGATGATTGAACTTCATCCACCTGCTTCTCCTTCTGACCCAGGTTGGTGAACCACAGCACATGTAGCAGGTCGATTAAAGAACTGAGCAGGTGTGGGTCTCTGTTTCTGTGATTGAGATTACAAAACATCAGAAGGTTTTAGTTGATCAAAGAAAAGAAGGATGCACTGAATATTCAAATTTTTGGCCAAAGATGGCCCAAAAGTACTTTTTATTTAGAATTTTTGTTTTTGTTGTTGGAATTTTCTTAATAAATATTTTTATAATTCTGAATTGATTTATTCTTACATTAATATTAATGTATGCAACGTCAAAGCCTTGACTTTAGTGAAATTAGTACACAGTCTTAACAATAAACACTATGGTACTAATAATTGGCAAACTAATTTTCTTGTGTTTCGATTTTTGGCCTTGATTTCCTTATTTTCGTTTTGGCCAAGAATTTGCATTTCGGTGCATCCCTAAAAAATATTGCATTAAACAGTGGGACAGTATAGTATACTTACCGTTTTTCAATCATCTGTATCATCCAGGTCAGAATCCCACAGGTTTTGGTTAGATTATAAGCTGCTTTGTTCACTGTTGCAGCCTTACACAGCACCCTGATTATCTGTGCCTACAGAAACGACATTGATACAACTCATTCACAACTTACCTCAGATTTCCTATGCTTATAATAAAGTCTTTTTCACACATATAGTGATATATTAGATTATAAAATAATGTGTTGCATCACACTGGTTTCTGTGGTGTGTACCTGGGAGTTTTCATCACGGAGGGGGC